TCATGTTGACATTGGTACCATTATAGCTAACTGGAATTCGTATTTTTCCTAGTATGTTCTGGGCTGATCCACTTGCAGTTCGTACCTTTGCATGATAGGGTTGCCAAGGAATTCCCATTTTGTCCACTAACTCCTTGCAGCCTTTGCCCAACAAGCTTACGGATGCGCCAGAATCTAGTAGCCCACGAAATTCCTTTCCGGCCATCTGCACCAATACATATGGGCGCGGATCTGTTCTGGCTTCTTTTCTGCCTATGGCCGTAACTGATCGTTGCACCTGTTGCCGTTCTTGCCGACGTTTCTTGAACCTTTCCCTAGCTTTCTTAACTCGTCTTGTTATTAATGTCATTCCCATCAGCTGATTGTTATTAAAAATGCGATCTCGAGCCTTAATATACCGGCGCAGGCGTTCCTGCAGTGACAACAATACCCTGTCAGGATTGGATGTTTTTTCCCTGACCGCAGCTTGCTCGCTGTCTTCTTGTTTTAGTGCTGCCTCCTCGAAATTTCCGCAGGCTCTCTCCCGGAACGTAGATTGCCCGCTACTCCCGCGTTCCGGAGACCGTTTCCCTGGCTACATTTGGGGCATTTTGGAGTAACTGTGTTTGCCAATCCACATTTGTAGCAGAACAGATTCCGTTGTTCCGCTTCGCACTCCTTAAAACCATGACCCTTCTGCTGACAGTTCCAGCACACCATTGGCTTCCTCATGGACTCGACACCGATCGCTTCTACGGCTTCCTCTGAACCTCCTACAGCCTCCCTGTCTCCAATATCTAAATTCCGAATCTCGTCCACTTTGCCTACACGTCCCTCATGCCGACTTCTGTATACTACTGGGACTTGTGAACGGAGCCTTCCGTAATCTGGAGCGAATGCTCGTTCCGCTTCTCTGCATTCTTCTTGAAGATGCTCTAGAGTATACACTCTGACGGGATACACCCACTGCTTGACCGGTTCTGCCAGGTTTCGCTTTGCAGTCTTAATGACCCAGTCATTGTCTACACTAAACCCCACCGAAGCCACCAGCCGCCGAATTGCCGTGAAATACTTGTCCAACGATTCACCTTGCCCTTGTTTTCGATCGACGATGTCCTGAATCCGGTCGTAGTCGCTTCTATTATCGCAATAACGCCGCTCTAAAGCAGTTTTGAGCTCGGACCAGTCCCTCGGCGGCTTTGTGCGGATCATTAGCCAGTACCACTCGGAGGCATCTTCCACCAGAAGGCGATGGAAATCTCTTAACAACTCTGGCCACGGCATGCCGTAGTGTTGTTGAAGGTGTTCTACCCGAAAGATAAAATCTTCGGCGCTCATGGTTCCTGTGTTGCCTGCAAATTGGAATCCCCATTTGTCGAGAGGAATATGGAATCTCGACCTGTTCGGTCCTCGCTGATCTGGCATCCCCACCGGTGTGTTCCTTCTTGGTCCTTGGCCATACATCGCTGCTGGGGTTGCTCCCTGATACCTTGCCCAATTGCCCACCCCTTGGCTGCAATTTGCACCAGGCATGTTGGGTGCAAATCGGTTACTAATATTGCCTGGCAAATGTAGCAGCGATTGAGACACATTAGAGACTCCATTCCGCCCAAAACTCGGGAATAAGTTCCTATTAGCTGGTTGCACGTTGCCGCTAAGAGCCTGCCTTTGTAGTCCTCCTCCTGGTACTTCGGTCTCAGCCGCACTTCCGGCGCCTTCCTGTTGACTTCTGTCATCCTGAATATTTTGTTGACCGGGTCGACTAATGACTGGCCCGATTCGGCTGTTCGCACTTCCGGCTGATGCTGATGATGTTGGCGAATTTCTTTTTAACTCCAGCTTTTTCATCAGTTCAGCGAATCCGGTCTGCATACATTGTTCGATTCGCACATCTACCAACTGTTGCATGTCGACTCTTAATTGCTCCTGGGACGTCATAATTAACAGCTCGATTTCCCTTCTGTCGCCAGAGCCTGAGTCGTATGCCGCCGCAGCTTCCGCGCTATACTGCTCTTGTATTGGGTCTAACTGAATATGCGAGTAGGTTCCAAAAGGAGTAGAAGTGTTATCGAGATTTAATCCCCTAGGAATAACTCCCTTTTGTTGCGCGCTAAGACGGTTCCTATCCCCTGGCCTTCCTTGCCCTTGATCTTGCTCTATATTCTCGTTGTCACTCATTCTGGACAGGTGAGTACTTCCCATTGAATTTTGTATATATATCTACAACTATTAACAGCTCCTACCTGAAATAAATGAACTATATTTTATTTATTGACGGATTTCCTATCAATTTATTCAACCAAATGGGAGAAAGGGATTCCATTAGATTTAGGGTTACTGGGTGCATTATTTTGGTAAGCAACAACCAACCCTTATTGCCAATTATATGTATGAATACGTAGATATCACGAATTTTTTTCGTCGACTAGCTAAATTATCAACTTAATTGATAATTACTAGTCAAAGAAAAAAAATTAGTCCCCAGACTTTATCAATTCTTATTAATTTTCCCTTCCTTTAGGTTACCCTTTCCACCGCCCGAAGCTACTTTCTCTCTAAGCATTGGAGCAAAGGACATCGGACCACCACCGAATCGCTACAAGAAGGATGTGATTTCGGATCCTATTTTGGACGCCGGTTGCTGGATGGGTAGCTCTTGGAAGGGAAACAACAAGAATTAGCTTCTAATTTTCATAGTTAAAGAATTTAAACCATCCCTAAACTAGACATATATATACAATTTAATATTGTGTAATCTTAATTTTATTTAATTAATTCCCTACCTTTTTCCTAATAACAAGCTGCAATGTATTATCGTATTATTTATATTATATTATGTTATATATACTATATTCTATTATTTATCTAACTCCGTCCAACGTCTGTCCGCCAAGCTATTACGCAAACTGTTACTCATTTATTTCGCAGTGTCGAGTTGGCCATCCACGCTTTCACCGATCGCAATAGGTCACCTTTTCGGAATGGTCATGACCTAGTCGCCGGCTTCTGCCACATCTCCGTCATTGTCAATTAACTAGTTTCTAATACTTAAAGCTTTATCACAGATGTATATCACCATTGAGCACTTACTTCTAATATCACATCGATCGCAAATCTACTCCTGGCTTATGCCGAGCTGATGTCGTCGTTGCATGAATGAGATAAATACTCAAAAATGATATAAACCTAATACTTCGGTCCTAGAGCCCTGTTTAATAACGAGCAGTCTCTCGAGCAACCGCTTTGTTTTAAAGAGGGTCTCTTAGAGCTGACGTTTTTCCTAATTTTCTCCCAGTGGAGTCTACAGTGCTGCCTTTTCATTTTGGGCGCCATCTGTTATGAACCTGCGTGGTCCTGCGTGAGTCGGGCTGCCCCAGCTAGCTCGATTTTCCAGGGCCGTGGTTCCCCTAACCCTGCCCTCTCACACAACAACAGAAAACGTTGGATTTTCATGTCCTACGTTTCGCAACACTCTATACTGCACCGTCATTTTTAAATTTAAATTAACGAATAAACAAAAAAAAATACACAAATATTAGTTAGTTTTAAACCTACACACATTTGGCAATTCTTTGGGCTCCTCCTGCTGAACCGGAGGTCACCTGCTCATCCCTCCCGACCATGCAGACTGCCTTGAGCAACATACTTGCAGCTGCCCCAAATACATTTTGTTTACCTTTATTTCTTGTTTTTTTATTGCACCATTATGTACCCCCTTTTACTAATATCCCCCCCCCTCTCCCATTAATTAATCTTTACTCCATGTTCATCTTTCTTATTTTCCTTTAATAATTCTTATTCACTAGTTTTTACAACATATTACCCTCTTGTGGACCCCAGTGTACGTTCTCGGGTTTCCCAAAATGTATATACTTCTTGACCCTGACCTACCGTAAGAGCTCTTAAGGTTGTTTATTCTTTCTTTACCAGGGATTAAAAAAAAAAGAATGTAATTGTATACGCAGAGAACATGAATTAATATTATTCCGGGCTCAAAGCCCCACGCTCACTCGGGCCACTCATGAATTTATATAAATAAAAATATAAATATATACAAATAAACCAAACAATTCGACAATATTTAAATATAAGTAATATGGGTATAAGACGTTATTATACGTTTACGTGTAGATGTAAGTATAATGCATGCAGACCGTATGTATTCAAAGTGTAAATAATAAAAACGCTTGAATAAGATGTAGATATTATGGCCTTATGTGTAAATAAAAATTAATAACCAAAAAAAAATGTAAATAACCCTTATCATTAAATAAATAATCATACAATTTTTACAACAAACACTACACGATAAAACAATTAATTATTCAAAAAAAAACTAATAACAACAAAAAAAAATCTGACTGAAGCCGACTGGCTCCCGTTGCCGCCTCTTGGTAAGCGTGTCGGTCATCCACGCCGTAATAATTTTCTTCAAAAAAATCTCTGGCCGTCTTTATTGTCCGGGCCTCACAAAAATTATCGCCAGGCCAACTTGGGTGACCTGGCTGTTTTTTGAAACTGGTAACTGGGTCTGATCGGCTCTGGAATGAAAAGCCCATAAGCATGGCCTCACTCTCGAACACCGATCACTTACCAAGTTTTTTCGCCGCTTCAGGCTTCCCAGTCCTGCTTTCCTTTACTTCACGTTGTTGTTGCCTGTGGACACTGGCGCGCTGCTGCAGCTCAAAAAAAAATTTGTCGCAACAAAGTACTGGGATTATGTAATCCGCACGTGCACCACAAAAAAACTTTACTTGGCGAGGGGAGCGCAGCAGCCTTAACGCCTTGACCGTGACTTTCGTTCTGGGCTCTCCTCTTCTCCTATCACCTTCCCGAACTCCGGCTCTCGTGTTTCAAATTTGCCGGGTCAACGGCCGTTTAACATTTGGGGTGACCATAAAAACAACTCAGTATTTTCAGTATAAAATCCCCCCTGCGCCGACATTCGATATGGCTATCGATAGCCCGGCCACAACAAATGCACAGCTTTAAATGAGACGAAACAGTATATTTTTAAAATAGAATCATCCCGATCGGAGCAATGCGGGGTGGGGTTTGATTAACCTGAAATTTAGACTTAATAATCATCAAAGGACTAATACTCATTGAAGAAAAAAATTTAAGACCCAACACCACCATAAGACATTTTTTTTTGTTTTAAATAGTACTTGTAATGTTTTTAAAATGATTAAAATTTATTTCTAAGATTTTTTCGGTCAACTTTTGCAGCGTTCGATAAGGAGACTTTTGAATTTTTGTCCTTTAAAAATATAAGTTTTTACCTACTCTTTTTGGAATTCTTTTCACTGTGGATGGCAGTAGACGTACGGACGAAGCGCACTGGGTGTGGGTAAATGCGACTAATATATATAGCCGTATATTGGAAATCTGCTGTGAAGGTACACCAGTCGAAAGGTTTAGTTTAGGTTTGCGTACCAAGAGCTTAAGGGGATTAAGTGGCTCAAGAGAAATTTCGGTAAAAGTTAAAAATATAAAACGATCGAACTGTCGGTGTTTGGTGGAGATAAATGACCCGATTCTTTAAAGTGATTTTACATTCGACAAATAAAACTTTTAAAAATTTTGATCGGCTCGCTCAAACAAAAAAACGGTTCTGAATTAGATAATTTAAAATAATATAAAATAGTACTAATTTTAAATAAAAAACTAGATTACGTAAAATCGTGTAGACAGAGATTTAAGAATCTAAGTTAAATCCGGACTGTGCAAAAGCATGCAAATTAAGTTGCTCAATATGGATTTTAAGTTATGACAGTTCTAATAGCATTGTATTTTGATTTCAAACATCCTTCAGAAATCGTTTCGTAGTCCAAGACATCCTTACTTTGTGCTCCGTACAATCTCTCAGACTCGCACTGAAATTTCTGTTGAAAATTAAACATTAAATGTTAGTTAAAAAATTAAATACACTCATACCAATATTTTATTTAAAGTTGAAGCGTTTTCTAGTGTTGCAGAAGGTAAATTCAGTATTTCCGCATTCAGAATAATATGTTGCTTGAAATAGTAGATTGCTGAAGCATCTTCGCTTTCCAGTATCCCTGTTAAATCGATTTCCCCTACATTTGTAGTGCCTCGAAAAGTAAGCTTTTCGTCTACGAAGTACAATTCTAAAAAGTTATGGGTAACGCAGTCAGCAACGCGAAATAAAGCTGATATGCGAGATAGAGTCAAATGACTTGCTAGCCTAATATCCTGTCTAATTGTCGGTCCACATAGTTTTTTACACGACGGTAGATCATTCGGTCTAAGGTTTCTTACCGCTGGGCTTACACTAAAAACAGCACGGTAAGTCGATTCGCATTTCTCTGCTGATATTGGAAAAAACACAGCATTTATTTGGCTATCAACCTCAATAAATCCCACAAGCTGCAATTTGAATCGAGGAAGAAGTTGGTTTTTCCGTTTTCTAATTGGAATCACCATGCGACATTTTTTCTTCACAAGTATTTCTGTGGGCAGCAGGTAGACGTGGACATGGTGATCAAAAAATGTCAAAAGTTTCCAATACGAACTGCTGAAGAGGGGCTGGCTGTCGACAAGTATAACATTTAACACTGCAAATATACAATCTGCGTGAAGACCTTGACTCTGAGTGGGCTGCAGATGTACGACATCCCCGTCACAGCTAGGAACGTGACAATGGTATTCCATGTACATCTTAAAGGCCAAACTGAATCTGTGAATGTTTTTACTCACAGAAACGAGCTGCTGCTTTTTATACTCCATCTGAAAGTTTTTCTGCAGCAGAGCTGGCTGCATTTTAGATAAATGCAAGGCAGTGGCGTTGTACTGCAGCGGATCAATGGCTGCAGGAATTAAGTCCGTCCTTGAGAACCGACCAGCTGCTTTCTCTTCGGATAAGGCTATGCAGTAAAATATGTTGTTGTCGCTCAGGCAAACCAATTCTTCTCTGTGGTATAGCCAACTGCAGACCTGGACGCCGGGAACTGCCATTCTCAAGGTGTGGACAATGCACTCGTCAATCTGAATGTTGTACTTGAATCTTAGCCGCACTAGCTGCTTGCCGTCCGTGTAGTAGATGTCGCCATTGTCGCTTGTGTCGTAGTCAAGCCATTGAGAACCAGTCTGATGAATTTGACTTTGTTTGATTTTAAGGACACTGGACACATACCACATGCCCACACTGCCACTGTCAAGAAACACTAAGCAGAGGTTTTCATTTGGCAAAATTTGGATGAACCTTACATTTGTAGCGTATACGCATATGAGCTCAATGTGATAGTCTTGACCGACTGTTTCGGAGACCCCACTAAGTCTATGAGCCATTGCAAACACATGTCCATTTATGCTAAAAATGTGAATGTAGTTGTATTTGATCGCGTTGGTCCCAAGCAGGCTCTGCACGAAATGTTCTTCATTTTCGGATACCTTTAAAGATGTTAAAGTGTACTTATCGTCGTTCCAGTCGCACTGAAATATGTTTTCTGCGTAGTAAGTAATGTCGAATGTGTGTTGCAGCGTGCTCTCGCCGTTCTCTATTCCAGGAATATCAAGATATGTCTGCAATAGCATGCGTTGCTCCTGCCTTCGAATCACGCTAAATCCTTGGCCCACAATCGCCAAGCAGCGGACTTCACTGAGCCATTTTATTAAATGCACAGCTTTAAATGAGACGAAACAGTATACCTCTCCATTTGACATAAGCAGGATGGTATTATACCTTAGAGCATGCACGCTCTTAAGGTAGCTTCCTCCCTTATTGGGCAGTGGAATTCGAACGGAAGTAATTTTTACTTTGGAGTTATCTTTCGTCCTCTTGAATCGGTAGTTTAGCAAATAATTCTCGTTCCATGTTATAAACACAGTCTTGCCAATATGCGCGGCAGCCACGATAAGTCCACATGCTTGAAAGAGAGCGTCCTCCTCAATCCACCATAATTCATGTTTGTCCTGTTTTAAGGGTGTCATCACCAACGCTTGAAATAGTTTTTTATTGACAATAGTTTTCTTTATTGGCTTTCATAACATCGATGGTAATTTTGAAAATAAGGGTTTGGCCATGGCCGGGACCATCGATACAATTAAGGAAAACATTTTAAGGTCGGAATAGCCTGTTCCCACAAGAACCATTTACTGGCATTATTTTTTTTTAATTCGCAGTATATTTTTGAGGGAACAATGAGAAAACAGTGAAAAAATGAAACTCGATTCACAATGCCACCATATACCGTCAATGTCTTCTTTTGAGTGCTCAAAACAAGGTGAAATTTAACTAGAAAACAAAACCGAATAATGGCTGCTTTAGGTGAGTGTAGGAAGTAAACCTTCCCTGTCCCAAGTACCGCCATTGCTTAGCTCCATTATTAAACTGGGACATAATATCCTACTTACGTTCCTTTGCGAATTGTCCTCCAAAAGAGTTTTGACTAAAGCAATCTAAGAACAAGAAAGGAAGCAAACTTCGGCAAGCCGAAGTTCATATACCCTTTCAGCTTTTGCAAATATTAAATACTCTTGAAAACATAAAATTAGATTTACTTGAAGCTGTGATGATTGACAGCTCAATTATTTAATAGTTCCATGACAGCTACACGATATCGTTTTCCGATTTTAATAAAATTAAAAGCGTAATTTTGAACTGTCAAATTATTAATTAATCAAAAAGAATTTCTAAAATATAATACAAAATAAAAAAGTTAAATTAAAAAAAAAATTTTTTTTAATAGTTTTATTGTTTCCATGGGAGATATATGATATAGTCGTCCGTTTTGATGAAATTTAAACCAAAATTCTGAAATATTTAACCATTGCTATATGCCGAAGAACTAAAACTGAGAGACTAGTTTGCGTAGAAACGGACGGACAGACTGACAGAAGGGCAGACGGACGGACAAACGGACATGGCTGGATCAACTCTCCTAGTGATGCTGATCAAGAATATATATACTTTCTAGTGTCGGAAACGTCTCCTTGACTGCGTTGCAAACTTCTGACTGAAATTATAAAACCCTCTGCATGGGTATAATTACAAAATAACAAGAAAGGAAGCAAACTTCGGTAAGCCGATGTTCATATATGTACCCTTGCAGCTATTGCAAAAATTAAATATTTTTTAAAACATTAAATTATGATTTACTTGCGTGTATGTCTAAAAGCATTGAAGCTATGGGAGCTATATGATATAGTCGTCCGATTTTGATGAAATTCCTATGTGTCGAAGAACTAATAGAAAAATTGAAAAACAGCAAAGTTATATTTTTTTTTCTATTTTTTTTCTGATTGTTCCTATGGGAGTTATATGATATAGTCATCCGATTTTAATGAAATTTAAACAGTAATTCTGAAATATTTAACCTATACTATATGTCGAAGAACTAATAGAGAATTTAAAAACAGCAAAGTTATAAATTTGTTTGTATTTTTTCCGATTGTTCCTATGGGAGCTTTATGCTATAGTCGTCCGATCCGGCTCGTTCCGAGTTATATACTACCTGCAATAGAAAGACAACTTTTGGGAAAGTTTCATGCAAATAGCTTTAAAACTGAGAAACTAGTTTGCGAAGAAAAGGACGGACAGACTGACATGGCTAGATCGATTGGCCTAGTGATGCTGATCAAGTATATATTCTTTATAGGGTCGGAGATGTCTCCTTCACTGCGTTGCAAACTTCTGACTGAAATTATAATACCCTCTGCAAGGGTATAAAAAAGATAATTAAAAAAAAAAAAATGTTTAATATTTTTATTGTTCCAATGGTAGCTATATGATATAGTCTACTGATTTTGATGAAATTTTAACCGTAATTCTGAAATATTTAACAATTTCTATGTGTCGAAGAACTAAAAGAAAAATTAAAAAACAGCTAAGTTATCATTTTTTTTCATTTTATGGAAGCTATATGCTATAGTCGTCCGATCCGGCTCGTTCCGACTTATATACTACTTGCAATAGAAAGACAACTTTTGGAAGAGTTGTAGAAGGGCTTGTTCGAGCTCTCTTATAAAATAAAAATAAAACAAAATCCCGAGAAGTAGGCAGTATAGCTTAGGTCTTATAGTCAGAATGCTAGCTTGTACCACTAACCATACAACATATAGACTGGTCATTTCATACGACGTATTTGGACACAAAAAAACGGACCGCGGAAGGTCCACCGTTCTCACAGCAGCAGGTCCATGCACTTCGTGTTCGTTCGGGTTTTTTACTCTCTCATTCTTATTCTCATTTTTTTGCTCGCGCACTCATTGCACGAGTTCAGTCGTTCAGTCGCAGAGAGGCGCTTTTTGAAGAAGGCTGCCCTGCGCTTGAATTCGTCTTTGTATGTATGCGTGATCATGCATTCCCAGTCGGAAGTTAGAGAACGCATTCCAATAAAAAAAGCTTCTTTCATACATGCTTTGCAAGCGAAAAAGAATGTTAGAAGCTATAAAGAAGCATTTTTTATGCATTCTAAAGAGTTTTTGTGAAATCGTCCCTTCTACTACAATGCAAAAAAAGCCTTCTTTTGCAATGTAAAAAAAAAAAATGAAACCCGAACGATGCCGATCGTCCGATATTTTTGAGATCGTGTTTTTCACCGATAATCTCGCTTACCAAAGAACGCAAAAAGAAGTCTTGTTTTGGAATGGACAAAAAAATGGGAAACAAATTTAATCTATTTTTCTTTATGAACAGCAGCGACGTAAATATATACACTTTTTATCTTTATAAACAATATCTGAACGCTTTGTTATGTTTGGGGTATATGACTTGTTAAACTTTTCCTAAATCTAATTCTGTAAAAAATATTAATATTTAACTTTATTAATAATAATATTTAATATATTTTATATTGTATTAGAAAATAATTAATTTGACACAGTTTTTATATATTTTAATTTAAGGTAATAATATATACAAGATTACATGATTCCTCTTTAAAGCGTTTTGAATTATTATTTTACATTTGCCGGCGCTATAGTTTCCTCCGCCACTGTATACACAAGGAGTAACCGAACAAAACGGTACTCTAAAAAGCAAACGACAAGAACAAATGGGAAAAGGCAAGAAAGCGCGCGGCCTTTTTCGTTTCTTTTGCATTTCTCGCCACTTGCATTTTGATTTTCAATTGAAATAGCTGGTGTTTGATTTGATTTGTGATTTGTGAAATTTATATATCTTTGCGGTTTTAATTTTCAGGTAAGTATAGTGTTGATATAAACAAACTATAAAGGAGTTCCAATACTGTTCATAAAATAACATGAACCAAACACTAAATTAATTAAAACAATATGTGATGTGTACCTGTGCCAAAAAAACATTAAATTTATAAACACTTATTAACAATCTTATATACAGTGTACGGTCAAAACAAATTGTTCCTAAAACTGTGTGTGGCTGTTAATCAAACAACTAAAAATAATTATTTATTTGAGCGTACACTGCAATAAGACTTGAGTTTTATTTAATAATAAATACATATCAATAAATTCTGTTAATTTAATTAATGCGTTTTAAATATTATTTTCGTTTAATTCCAGAAGAACTAGTTCAAAACAAAAGGTAATTTATATATATTTCATAAATTTAAATTTTGTGTTTTTTGAACTCGTTTCGTTTATTTGTGTGCTCTCTTTTTTCTCTCTTCCTTTTACTTCTACCTAGGGTGGACTTACATCTACATTCATTTAAATGGAACATTATTCGGTAAGTGTTTTACAAACTTACAATCATATTTTAATAAAATTACATATTTCCTTCTCATTATTATATTTTATATTATATTTTCTCATTATTATATTTTCAGAGTCACAAAGAAGGGACGGTTACCGCTTCACCGACCATATTAAAGACCTTCGACGGGCCTTTACTAGGGCCAAAAATAAAACTTACAAGGCTAAAAGTATGGCCAAAAAAATGAGAGAGGACGAAAACGGCCAGGAGTAATACAATAAGTTTTAAAGCATGTATATATTAAAAAAAATTAAATAAATAAAAATTGGAATTGAAAAAAGAAACGGTTCCCAATAGCTTTTTTGGGAAGGATAATATTAGCATTCTTGGGTAAGACAATAGAAGGCTAGTTTTGAAATCATACTAAATGTGTTCTTGTGGAAGGGATCAATATTCATTCTTTAGATGTGTTACGCAATGCTTGCTTTGGAAGCTATCCGGGTGATTTCCCGAGGAACGTTTCTATGTTCATTCTAACAGTGCGCTGTAGAATGCTTCCTTCGTAAAGTACAAATGGAAGGGAAACCCGAGCGTTTCCGAAGTTGAAACTACCTTCCAATGGAACGCATTAAGACTCGTTCTTAGATCGGTTTTTACTTGTTTAATGCGTGAGAACCCAGTCGGAAAAAACACGCTTCCAGGATGCGTTCTTTTACGCTTCCTTTGCATGCGAAAAACGCATTCCAGATCCCTGAAAGCTTCCTTTCCTTTTTGTTCGAGACGGGACAAAAAGCAAGCCTTCTTTTAGAACCGATCTAAGAACGAGTCTTAATGCGTTCCATTGGAAGGTAGTTTCAACTTCGGAAACGGTCGGGTTTCCCTTCCATTTGTACTTTACGAAGGAAGCATTCTACAGCGCACTGTTAGAATGAACATAGAAACGTTCCTCGGGAACTCACCCGGATAGCTTCCAAAGCAAGCATTGCGTAACACATCTAAAGAATGAATATTGATCCCTTCCACAAGAACACATTTAGTATGATTTCAAAACTAGCCTTCTAATTGTCTTACCCAAGAATGCTAATATTATCCTTCCCAAAAAAGCTATTGGGAACCGTTTCTTTTTTCAATTCCAATTTTTATTTATTTAATTTTTTTTAATATATACATGCTTTAAAACTTATTGTATTACTCCTGGCCGTTTTCGTCCTCTCTCATTTTTTTGGCCATACTTTTAGCCTTGTAAGTTTTATTTTTGGCCCTAGTAAAGGCCCGTTGAAGGTCTTTAATATGGTCGGTGAAGCGGTAACCGTCCCTTCTTTGTGACTCTGAAAATATAATAATGAGAAAATATAATATAAAATATAATAATGAGAAGGAAATATGTAATTTTATTAAAATATGATTGTAAGTTTGTAAAACACTTACCGAATAATGTTCCATTTAAATGAATGTAGATGTAAGTCCACCCTAGGTAGAAGTAAAAGGAAGAGAGAAAAAAGAGAGCACACAAATAAACGAAACGAGTTCAAAAAACACAAAATTTAAATTTATGAAATATATATAAATTACCTTTTGTTTTGAACTAGTTCTTCTGGAATTAAACGAAAATAATATTTAAAAAGCATTAATTAAATTAACAGAATTTATGGATATGTATTTATTATTAAATAAAACTCAAGTCTTATTGCAGTGTACGCTCAAATAAATAATTATTTTTAGTTGTTTGATTAACAGCCACACACAGTTTTAGGAACAATTTGTTTTGACCGTACACTGTATATAAGATTGTTAATAAGTGTTTATAAATTTAATGTTTTTTTGGCACAGGTACACATCACATATTGTTTTAATTAATTTAGTGTTTGGTTCATGTTATTTTATGAACAGTATTGGAACTCCTTTATAGTTTGTTTATATCAACACTATACTTACCTGAAAATTAAAACCGCAAAGATATATAAATTTCACAAATCACAAATCAAATCAAACACCAGCTATTTCAATTGAAAATCAAAATGCAACTGGCGAGAAATGCAAAAGAAACGAAAAAGGCCGCGCGCTTTCTTGCCTTTTCCCTTTTGTTCTTGTCGTTTGCTTTTTAGAGTACCGTTTTGTTCGGTTACTCCTTGTGTATACAGTGGCGGAGGAAACTATAGCGCCGGCAAATGTAAAATAATAATTCAAAACGCTTTAAAGAGGAATCATGTAATCTTGTATATATTATTACCTTAAATTAAAATATATAAAAAACTGTGTCAAATTAATAATTTTCTAATACAATATAAAATATATTAAATATTATTATTAATAAAGTTAAATATTAATATTTTTTACAGAATTAGATTTAGGAAAAGTTTAACAAGTCATATACCCCAAACATAACAAAGCTTTCAGATATTGTTTATAAAGATAAAAAGTGTATATATTTACGTCGCTGCTGTTCATTAAGAAAAATAGATTAAATTTGTTTCCCATTTTTTTGTCCATTCCAAAACAAGACTTCTTTTTGCGTTCTTTGGTAAGCGAGATTTTCGGTGAAAAACACGATCTCAAAAATATCGGACGATCGGCATCGTTCGGGTTTCATTTTTTTTTTTTTACATTGCAAAAGAAGGCTTTTTTTTGCATTGTAGTAGAAGGGACGATTTGACAAAAACTCTTTAGAATGCATAAAAAATGCTTCTTTATAGCTTCTAACATTCTTTTTCGCTTGCAAAGCATGTATGAAAGAAGCTTTTTTTATTGGAATGCGTTCTCTAACTTCCGACTGGGAATGCATGATCACGCATACATACAAAGACGAATTCAAGCGCAGGGCAGCCTTCTTCAAAAAGCGCCTCTCTGCGACTGAACGACTGAACTCGTTCAATGAGTGCGCGAGCAAAAAAATGAGAATAAGAATGAGAGAGTAAAAAACCCGAACGAACACGAAGTGCATGGACCTGCTGCTGTGAGAACGGTGGACCTTCCGCGGTCCGTTTTTTTGTGTCCAAATACGTCGTATGAAATGACCAGTCTATATGTTGTATGGTTAGTGCTTGTACCAAGTGCAGCCCATCATGATCAGGTGGCGCCCTCTAACGCGGGAACTCGAACTTTGTCGTACTGGCAACGCAACAAATGCAATCAGCTGAGTAGAAGACAGTGGTCTGTGGTCAATATCAATTTTGACAGAGCTATATTTCCGTTTTGGGGTTACCTGCTAAGCTCACGGCTTTAGCTTATTCTTTTCGACTTCCACCGCCAACGATACAAGTTGTCTGTAATAAATTTTCTCCAACAAGCAGACCGACCTCGTGGTTTTGCTACTTGGTTAGAAAAATAAACCGTGAGTAACCATCAACCAACAGAAAAAGCAACGAATACTTATTAGTGCTTTTATTTAATTTTGTTTAAAGAAATCTATTCGAATAACGCAACACGCGTTCAACGGTGGCTGAATTCAGTGAACTATCAGAGGCCAATTCGAATGCTGGCTTAGCACCACCATATTTCTCCTGAGACCGCGCCTAACCTTAACCGCACTGGCTTACAATACTGCCCAGTGGCCATAACGTAGCGCTGCCTAACAGCCGTAGCCCGATCAGCAGCTACACAACAGCCTAATTCGGCCCAACAGCCAGTACAGCAGAGCAGGTGCAGCAACAGCAGGGCAACCCAGCAGCCCGAATAAGCCCCGATACCCAGTGGAAATAGAGCAGGTGCAGCAAACCCAGGGCTATCTTCAGCAGCTATACTAAAGCCTAGATAGGCCCAACAAGCTGTCCAATGTAGAGCAGCAGCCGCAGCAGCATCAGCAGTACTTGTTGCTACTCATCCTAACCCTACCTCAACATAAATCTAATGCACGTTGTTGCTATATTTTTCTCAGTTTTATTAGAACAAATCTACCTAGCATGCATATAAATATTCGATAAAAAAAATGTAATAATTATAAATTATAGTTCTTAATTTGCTGTGGTTTTAAGATATAAGAGAGAGAAAAAAAAATGATAGGCAAAGAGATCAACGTTGCTGCTGCGAACCGGTGAAAATTTACAGTGAAAAAAATATATATATAAAAATTTGGCAAAATATATAATATGCGAATGTGCCAGTAAATGTGTAATCCCGCAGTTTAAACGCGAAAATTTTATAAATTGCATATCTAAAATGTTAACGAGAAAAAAAAATTAACAAATTAAAAGTAAACAATGTTGCAGAATCAAAACTAAAACCTTTTTAACTAAAAATATACCCGACGACCATATACATAACTAAATAAGTATGTACAAGAAGTCGCCGCTGCCAAAGATCTTTCGCCGCCGGAGTTAATCGACTGTAAGTTACCTTTATCATACCTTGTTTCATTATTTCCTTTATTTAGTTATTTCGTCACTGGTCAAACCGCATAAAATTTATTATGTTTTGTTTTGAATATGCATATTTGAGCGTTTACGCTGTGTTGCTGACCGTGCTTGCAGTTCTAAAGCTCTGTTTTAATAAGCGAGGGCAGATACAAAAGTTTTTCCTTAGGATTTACACGCGCAGTCACTTATAAATTTAAACCCTTAAATATTTACAACGATCATCTACTATTAACCTATATGAGATTTTTATATAAATTTATATATATATAGCAATTATACTTTTATATACATTAATCCCGTTCTCATTCAGCAACTTTGAACTCTTTGCAAATTTTCGATAAGAAAAAAAAAAGAAAAAATGAAATGAATTAATTAGACAGTTTTATTTAGGTATGTAAATAAAACTGAATTTTTTTTTGGAGGCACTAATTTTAAAAAAAAAATATTTTTCTTAAGGAAAAAAAATAAATAAATAAAATCGAAATGATCGAGAGCTTTTTGTTAGAAATAAAATTTACCTATATTTAAAAATTCTTTATAGTATTGTTTAAAAATTCAAAACCACAAATATTAAAAAGTTATATGAAAACAGTTTATTTTTCTAATGTGAAATAATATTAAAATAAACAAATTTATCACAGAATAAGCTTGTATGAAACAACAACAAACATATCTCAGGCCATATGGAAGGGATAATTCGTAATTATAATTGTTAATAAAAAAAAATGAATTTTAACTAAGATTCTCCTTATCCGGGGATCATGGAAGTCGAGTGTCGTTTAAAAAGTGATTGGTAGTCACTCCAAGGGATCCTGAAGAGGAAATGTTGGACCATTAGGATCATGGTAGGGTGGGCACTTCGCCTTCTTGGCGTAGTAAAAGGAGTGATGTTTTGGTAAGTGTATCTCTCACGTTTTGTTTTGTTTTCGTATTCTATTCTTTCTTCAAGTCTTTTCTTTTATTTTTTTTTGTTCTCTAGCTTCCCCAATATACCCAAATGAATAGTACGCGAATTTTAAGTTATTTTTACTAGCATACGACCCTTATAACGTGGCGGTTTTCTTTTCTTCGTTGACCCACCCCATGCCGACCAGACATATGAAAAGCCGAGGATGTCGCGTACTCCGCAAACACGTTAATTTTTCCACCAGCTCTTTCCTAATAGATCGTTATATGCTACAGAAATAATTATGGCGCCCAACGGGGGGCCCGACCTTGGCTGGCCCCTATATAGAATAAAATAGTCAACTTCATCAACCAGTGCGTAATTTTCATAAACCACTGTTGACTAAAAATATGTCAGATTTATTACTTTTCTTTACCTTTTCTAACCCAAACAGAACTATTTGCACCTTGACTGTGATTTAACATATATCTGGATTAGCGTACTATTAATATAGAAACGTTCCGAACAATTTTAATTTCTATTAGTTATTAAAGAGAAAACAGCTAAATCAAGTAGGAACCTGCGATTGGATGTGGATATTTTAGAAGATTTCTATCACCTGCCACGCAGCAAAATAAAAACTCTGATAGGCTTTGGAAGTACAACAGGATTAGATAAACTTTTATAATAAAGGTTCTACCGGTACTTACAGTATTCTCGAAAGGTGCTTAGGGTTTCCAAAACGCTGCTTTAAGATACGAACTAATCTCTTGCTTATAGTCCAGCTGGATCTAGATGGATATTAGTGGCAGTACCGCTTTGGAATTTTTGTTTTGTTTTGTTCAATTTAGTTATTGCAGGTTGCAAACAAGTAAAAAGCGTAACAGAGGTGTGCCAGAGTAGGAGCGTTAGTTGGTAGCTTTTAACGTTTTGGATCACACATTTGAACGTTGGATTGTCTGCAATATTTAAACCTAATCTTGTTCGTTAGTCTTGATACACATGCTTAAACAATTATGATTACTAGACACGAAGATTGTTGTGATTCCCGGAGAATTATTTGTAATTTAAAAAGAAAAAAAAAACTTTTTAAATAGTGAGTTATCTTTTTGATTAATTATAAGAAAAATTAATGATTATTAAGAAATGTTAGGTGAAGACGAACCAGCAGAAGATTTTTCCGTCACGGCAAACGGTGACTGCTTTATTTGTCTAAGAGGAACTGAATACACTGCTCAGTTATTATCTCCTAACTGTGGTCATACTTTTCATCGAGTTTGTTTTAACACAAAGGTTCGAAATCATAAAAATTGTCCTGTGTGTAAAGCAGATTTAAAATCCGGTAGTGTCAGTGCAAGTAGACCATCGAGTGCATTGGGTAGGTCTCAGATTGATTTGAGCAAGGAACTAGCAGGAAATCCTATTACAGACGACTTTAACATGGAAGAGTTACAGCAAGCCGTTAAGGAATCTAATAAAAGAACGGAAGCTTTAGCAGAAACTATTAGCGCTGGGTTTCAACGAATGTTAACTCTTTTGGAAAACCAAAAGCAAGCCTCAGATTCTGGTAATAGGCTAATAGAGAATGATGAGCAGCTTCAAGAAAGAGGGAACTTCATTGCAGCAGGACATTTTTCGGCTACAGGAAATCTTCGTCCAATAGAAAGTAGGCCTGTAGCAGAAAATTCTTCTCCAGTAGGAAATCGTTCTACAATAGGAAATGA